ACCAGAAATTACCTTTAATGAAGGGTAAGTTTTTTTCTTCAAAGAAAATACAAACAAACTCCAGTTACCTCCTGAAAAAGCACCTTTGGGACAACTATGACCTGGATAATTGGGAATCTCCATAGACAAGGGGTTCGATATATTGATGGTAGGAAATATTTGTATGTAAAAACTGACTGGTTGATTGATTGATTGATTATCAAATCATTGTCAACTCTTAATAATCACAGATATTTTCTCCATTACAATCTGTCCCTGGACTGGTCTTTCAAGTTTTCTAATAGTGCACTAATTTCTACTATAACTGAATCACATTCTTGCGGCTGTGCTCCTTTTGTTTTCTTCCACTTTTCCCAGCACTAAAGCCTATTCCAGAGAACTGTGTAGCATTAGGTAGCGTTTGAACAAGCAGTATTTTTCACATTGTGGTTTGCAGAAATTAACGGACGTTCCATTAAAGACTGCTGAGATTATTTGAATACAGTCAATATTCTATACTTAAAAGCTTTGCCTCTTTATCAAAGGTCCTGGGATGATGATGATGATGATTTAATTAATAGGTTCTATGCCCTGAAAAAGTTTGAAAACTGGTATAGAGAATAGTTCCATGCTCAGTGTTTCTCAACCTTAGCAACAAGTTAGCTAGGGAATTCTGGGATTTAAATTCCACACATCTTAAAGTTGCCACGGTTGAGAAACATTGGTGTAAGTTGGTCCATTTTGCAACTTTAAATACAGGAATAAGGAGGACCTATCTGCTTTTTAGTTGTCTTATATGAATGTTCAAGAATGAAAGGTTTCATTCATAGTCAAAAACTTGTGGGAAATTTATTAAGGGTAAAAGTCTATGGAGATTCTCAGTCATCCAGGTCATAGTTGTCCCAAAGGTGCTTTTTCAGGAGGTAACTGGAGTTTGTATTTTCTTTGAAGAAAAAAAAACCTTACCCTTCATTAAAGGTAATTTCTGGTTTAATTTCTCCTCAGCAAACTCCCAGTTAATTTGTATACTGTAGATCAGGGGTCCCCAGCCACCGGGCCATGGACTGGTACTGGTCCGTGGAACATTTCCCACCAGGCCGCCGGTTTGCTGGGCACCACCATCTTGTTTGGTGAGAAAGTACTTCCGGGTGAGCTTTTCCGGTTGGAAAATGGCATTTGGGTCATGAAGGAATCCTTGCGCCTTAGTTTCATCGAGCGGGGGGCTTCAAACGAAACTAAGACACAAGGATTCTTTCAGCACCCAAGGCAAGGCGAGCCGAGAGACCATCCCGAAGCTGTCCCGAAGCGAAGCCCATTGACAAAGGTACAAAGGAGGAGTTGAAGGTAGCGGAGAGAAGCAGGGGACGGCTGGCTGGCCGGTCGTTCAGCTCGCCTTGCCTTGTCATGCGTGCTGATGCCGGTACCGGGCCGCGGATCATTTTGTGATGCCAGTACCGGGCCGTGGGACAAAAAAGGTTGGGGGCCACTGCTGTAGATGAACCAGAGTAAACATGCATGTTGTTCAGCACAACTAGTAAAAAAATACCGCAATAGCTGGATCTTTATTTATTCAATGTGAACTAATATTACAACCAGGTAACTGACAAAATAGGACAAATAGCAGTTAAAACCAGGGAGAGAGACATAAACAGGAAAGAGAAAAATGGTCAGATGATTTAATAACGGCAATTTATATCTCTTTATCTAAATGCACATAACTTTCCAGAGTTGCTGGAAGCTGTTCCATTGGTAGTTAGGACGACCAATTTCAAGGGAGTGGCCTTGGATTATGCCAGCTTTAACCCCTTTAGGTACATAATGGCAGCAGAATAAAAATGAAAGGAGGACACCAGGTGATACTTTCTCTATTCTGCTCCACAAAGGAAAAAAATTCATGGATGGACATGAGGTAGCCAACATCTATATCAGTTCCATGCACTGAATTATGCACTCTAAAGGGTGGTACCACCAGGCATCATTTCATGCTTTGAATTCCAATGGTTCTTTCAGCCTGAAAAAGTTACCTCTGGGCAGTGGCTTGATAAATACATCTGCCATCAGTTGGGCAGTACTTCAGTTTTCATTATATTCTTTTGCTTTTGAGTCAGTCTTGACTCCAGGCAACTGCAGTTTTGTTGGTAAGTTTTCAGAAGTGGTTTGCCATTGCCTACTTTCTAGGGCTGAGAGACAGTTATTTCCCCCCAGATCACCCAGCTGGCTTTGGTCTAAAGTAGGACTAGAACTTATGATCTCTCAGTTTCTAGCCTGATGATTTAATCATAATACCAAACTGCCTCGCACTTCAGTTTTATCTGCCCCTTTTCTTGTACATCCTTCACACTGCAGTTTAATATCTATGTGTCTCAGTTGGTATCTGCATATATCTCATCTTGTTCCAAAATAATGGGTTGTTTCTTCAAAGTCAGCAAAAGTTTGTGCAGCCACACAAGTTCCCTGCATGTTTATATGGCAGCTCACTACCCAGCCTCTCTAGCTAGCAAGTCAATTGTTCATCTTCTGCCCCACAGGTAAGTATAAGTGATGCCATAAGATTCATCTTCAGCCCAATATGAACCTGGGTAAAAACTTTGGATTATCAGTTTTAAATGAAAGATGTAAAGATTTTTAAAAATTAAAAAGTTCATTAAAAATTCATAATTCCTTTTAAATCTCTGCCTAATATTTTTACTGCTGTACCATCCTGTTATATTGCTTCCATGCAGCTGGCTGTATCATATACAGTGGCTTTCTCCCAGCAGCCTTACACGGCTTGTTACTTGCTTTGCTTTCCTCCTTTACTTAAGTATTCAACTTCTATGAATATGCTGAGCTCCTTTACCGCACTGAGACCTAGAAACTTCATTAAGTCTATTATCTTTTGGGTTTGATTGAGCAAATACCCTCCACTTTTACAATTTCACAGTTGTGACTAATATTGGTACATCTTTCAGATCACCATGCAGAAAAGCACTCTTTATAACCAAAGGGCTGCACATGCCGTTTTCTAAATGCTGCTACACTTAGACATTTTCTGACTTTTGTATATTTAATTGCAAGTGTACATCATCATCATAGGCCTGGCCAGATTTTTGTGTGTCACCTTTTGTTACAAATCTAGCTTTTACGGAATTAAATGCTAGATTTTCCATGAACATCATGTGTTGTTTTGAAAACCCACTTATAAAAACACACTTTTTTGGCACTTTGGTAGTTCTGTTAGAATCCATGTATTCTTTTGGTGCAATAATTCAATTTCTTTCCATGAGTTGTGATCATGTACACCCCTTGTCCAATTGTGCAGCACATTCTTGCAGGATTTAGGATTCCTTTGTAAAATGTCTGAGATCTTTACAATTCTAATTCTAGGTGTCAGCAGTCTTTCAGAAATATGTTACTCCAGGTAGTCTCACTGCGTGCTCACAAATGGGACCCTAACCGGGGGTGGGATTCCACCAGTTCACACCTATTCTCTAGAACCAGTTGTTAATATTCTAAGCAGTTCGGAGAACTGGTTGTTAGAAGAAATTACTGGCCTAATCCTGTAAGGAAGGCAGGAAGGAAACATTCTGGTGTTGCTTAAAGAAACTGCCTCTCCGTTAACCCTTATTACATTCTTGGCAGGACTAGACTTCCTGTCTCAGGAACTTCTCTGGAGTTTTTTCCCCCTCCTTTGCTGATACTTTGCTTGTGTGGAGTGACCATTCATAGTTACAATGGCACTGAAAAAAGTGACTTATGACCCTTTTTCACACTTACGACTGTTGTAGCATCCCCACAGTCACGAGAGGCCATGCGAGGAAATGCATGTCCCAATGTGAGTGATGCTGAGTTGGCCAGGCCCACCCAGTCACATGACCACCAAGCCACGCTCACCAACTTAGCCACACCCACAGAACCGGTTGTTAAAAAATTTGAATCCCACCCCTGACCCTAGCCCATTGCTAAGCACCACAATTGTTAAGTGAAACATCACATGATAACTTGACTTCCATTATGTCATTAAGCAAGACACCATATAACTGCAATGTATGACTTTACTTCCGTGTTTTCCATTATCCGTTTATACAAGCCCTCTGGGAAGCACATAACTGGCAATCTTGCCACCATGAAATGCTGAGAAAGTTATAAATCCCTTATAAATCCACCTGAACATTGATAACACAACCCTGGAAATGTTGCACAAGTCCTGAATGCAAGGACAGATCCTAAAGTTATTTTTAGGGCCTTCCTGACTTCAAAAGGATACTAAATGAGGCAGTCAGTAGGCAAGAACTACATGTATTTCAAATTTCTCAAATTTATTTTCAATAGACCCTTCTGACTGTGCGATATTATTACAGTTAGTTGCAGAGTCAGCCAAATGTTTAGACTGGATTTGGCATTTTTATCTTCCTATGAATTCTTTCCCAAGGTACTAGAGTAGGAGATGTTGTTTTATGGTGTTAATCATTAATGTATGCAATTCCAAGTAAACGGTCCATTGCAATTGATTGATGGGGATCTTGTCAATGCCAACGGTGTTCAAGTGGTGCTCCAGATTTTGATGTTGTTATTCCCTTTTTGCTTCCCGGGTAGATGCTGAGTTCCATACTTCAGACTAGATTGGCTTACATTACTGCAGGTCATTGGGGGATATCCCTTTTTCTTCATTAAAATGAGCTACATTGCATGTGTTTACTTTACCAGTTCTTAAGCCCAAAATCTGTAACTTTTTGTTCATATATGATAGCCAGAACTATTTCTAACTGGCTTCTGTAATTTAATTTATTCCTTTTTTCTTTCAGAATGAATGCATATGCTTAGCAATTAAATACCATGATAATTACAAAGCTTGCTCAAGCAATAACTATGCTGGCTTGAGTTCTTGAAATTTTACTCTAAAGCACTTAGAGAACTTCATGACAATTCTAGTAGCACTTGATTCATGACTCTCCAATGTATAGTCTCAGTTGAGCAGCCCTTAGTTTTAGCCACACTGATTACTGAATTATAATAAAAATAACGTTTTCTATTTCTTCTAGCTATATTTCCTGCCTTCTTTGACTGTTGCACAGAAGTAGCCCAGCACATCCCCAAGAAATGGTTAAGCAGAGTGGTGAAATTTGAAATCCAAAAGAGTGGTGATTTATGCAGAATACCAGCTGTGATGTAAGTGGTACACAACACATACAATGGTATACCAATGGTGTACGTGCAACAGGATATTTCAACAGAATGAATATCCACATAACTTCATCAGAAAGTGCCTGACCACTCAACCCAATATAGCACAACCAACACAAGCTATAAAACAACACTACCATACATCAAAAACATTTCAGAAACCACCAATAGATTATTGCAAACACATGGCATCAGTGTAGTACACAAACCAGCTAAAGCCCTCCATAACCTCCTAAGTAAACCAAACGTCCCAGCAGCCCAGAAGAAAAAACAGGAGCTACCAACGACATATGGTGTAAAGACCGCAATAGGACATATATAGATTAGCAGAATACAGCCATGAACACCAACTAGCAATCATAAGACTTGATGAAAACTCTTTAATTTCACAACACATGGACAGACTTAGCCATAGTTTCAGTTGGGAAACTGACTATACTAAACCAAGCCAAGTTTGAAAAGCTAGAAAATTCCTGGAAGCCTGGCCCCTTTGACAAATTATCCATCAATAGGCACATGGACATAAACAATATCTATACACCATTCAAAAGAGACCATCAACAAGCCAAAAAGGAAACAAAGGGGACGAGCAATCAGCACCCAGATGAGCATAGATTAACTCCAAAATTAACCTCACACCAACAATCAAGAAGTAAACAATACCCCAATCGAGGATCTGCCAAACAAGCTTACTGTAAACAGCTCAACCAAAAAAGCACCAAGACCACTTGCACCAACACTAACAGGCTAGCCACTGCAATATAAATTGAGAGCAAACCACACTCTTTACTAGCACTCATGACGTTATCTGGTTAGGGTAACGAAATGTCTGAAAGGAAACAAAAAGCAACAAGGACCTTTGTGTCTAATACCAAGCATTATCTTTGCTTTCTTTTGCCACAGTCATTATCCTTCCACATTTTTTTGTATTTTGCAAATTTCTCCAGCTCTTTCTCTTCTGCTCTCTCCAGGTACTGCAACATCTATTGTACAGACTTTTTTTTTTGGGGGGGGGGGGGGGTTGTCGACAATTGTTAACTCTGGGATGTTATATGACAAATCTTGTCTCTTTGAATTCTAAAGTCCCTGAGCACTTTAGATTCTTTATTTTCTCTTATTTTGTCTCTTTTATGGTCCCAACCAGTTCTTGACTGCAGATAAATTATATTTTTTGCAGGTATTGTTATTAGTTCCTTTTAATCTTTTTTTTTCTTATCCCCATAGCCTTCACACCAGGCGCAAAAAGCTATGTGTAAGTTCATCGAATAAAAATGTGAAGAGATGGATAAAGCAGATGACCAGGTGTTGCCAGAGAAGTAATCCAGAGATCTGGAAGAGAAGAAAACTCAGAAGGGAGAGGAAAAATACGAGGAAAAATCCTATATTTGCTATGTGCAAGAAAGAAATCTGTACTAGGCAATAAATATGACAAAAGTCTCAGAATAACAGCTCCCATAAACATCTTGACTTGTCTTTCATTCTAAACTCTTTCCTGAAAAGAACAACAGAGCTGGATGTTTGCAGATAATAGCCAGGTCCACAAATCATACCATTGTTCTTAGTTTGCACATGCTGTTTAAGTCATGATCTATGATTGACAAAGCACATTGTACAGGTTCATGCAACATACTAACCATCATGCGGTCATTGACTTTGGCTTATATAGGTAGCCCTTTGACTTATAACCAGAAGTGGTATTCAGCAGGTTCTGACCAGTTCTGGAGAACTGGTAGCGGAAAATTTGAGTAGTTCGGCAAATCCCACCTCTGACTGGCCCCAGCCCCATCTATTCTCTGCCCCCCAAGTCCCAACTGATTGGCTGGGTCTTCTTTTGTTGCCCTGCACAGGAGAACGGAGCTGAAAAGCAGGTTAGTGGAGTGGGGAGGGAATGAGGATTTTACAGTATCCTTCCCCTGCCATGCCCACCAAGCCAAGCCCACAGAACCGGTAGTACAAAAGATTTGAATCCCACCACTGTGTACAGCCATTCATTTAGTGACAGTTTGAAGTTACATTGGCACTGAAAAAAATGATTTATGACCATTGCAACCTGAATTAAAATTACTAGAACAATAAACTGTATAAACAGGGCAGGAGCCTTACAAATACATCTAACACATTAGCCCCAGATCAGGGAAGAGAGCCCGGGATAAGGACTTTCTGGACCTGCAAGACTGAGAGAGGGTATCATCCTTAACTCTGGCGGGGGATGATGTTCTAGAGCATGGGTGTCAAACTAGTGGTGTCATGTTGCCATCACGTGATGTATCGTGACGTTGTTTTTCCTTCATGGAGCTGGGGTGGGCATGGCCTGTGCGTGACATATCCGACCCGCGGGCTGCCAGTTTCAAACTCCTGTTCTAGAAGGTGACAGAGACGGCAGGCTTCCTGGGCCCCATACAAAGGCAGTACTTAATAAACTGGAACTGAAGTGTCCTCTCTCTATCCAAATAAAGCAGGCAAGCAGAAACGAGTGGAGAAAGGCACTCAGATAACTAGGCCCTAAGCCATGTTGCACGCACATACACTTTTGCAATTGATCACAGACGTGTGGTTGTTCTCATCTTTGAGCTATCATACATATGTGTTAAAAGATAGCCACTTAACTCTTTTTAAAAGTCCTCAATTCCTATCCACACATCTCCCCTTACCACTGATTCCATGACACTCTGTCCCAAATTAATCTTCTGCCACCACCATTAAAGGTACCCAGGATGAAAAGAGCTTCCAAATAAAAATTGCTATCATGGTCTATTAATTCCTGGGAGATATTAAGACTGGGTAGGGATACAGTCCCAAAGGGCCAATTCTAAGGTGAGGAGAACTTTGTCTTCTATCTCTTCTTTGCTTCCTTCTTCTTCCCCAACTGCATTCACTCTGTAAGTCCTATGGCCATGGGGATGCCTCACTTCCCTGGTAGGAGGGAGAGCAGGTGAGCAAAGCAGAGAAATTCCCTGTTTTCAACACATGTTCACTTTATGTGCAAAGCATCTTGTCTCCCTACCCTACCCTCCCTCTGAGCAACTATACTGAATCCCATCCTCAGTGCTCCATTCCTGCTTTTCTCCTAACACCTGCTTCGGTTTGTTGGATGCGTCCCCGCAATTGTTCCCCTTAAGATCAAGAATAGAAGCGAGATCACCTATTGTCTGATTTTCCACCACTAATTTGCTTCTGTTATATAGTTATGTTGCCATAAAAGGGTTAAGGCTGAAGAAACCGAAGGTGACTCTCTTTGGAACACTCTGTGCTTATTGTTTCCAGAGGCTTTCGAAAGTTCTGTCTCCTTTTGATATAAATAATACGAATTGTTGCTCATTTTTCTGTCTATAGTTCTCTGCTTTTGTCTGCCTTGTAAAGAATTTTACCAGGTCACTTCTATTTTAGGACTGAGAATGAGTAAACATAAGGCTGTATTTTTTGCTAGCCGTATTGAACGGTGTTTGCACTTGTTCTGATCTGTATATAGACTGGGAGTATGTTGGGAATAAACATCACTGGAAATTAGAGAGAGCCTCAGAGCAATTATAGAATAAATTAGTCTATGCTGCTGCTTAAATAAAGGTTGCCAGGCTGTGCTGACTTTTTCAGTGGCAAATGGCAGAGATATTTAGGCCAAGAACAAAAAATGTACTCTATTAAAAACAGAGCCAGTTTGGTCTAGTGGTTAAGTCACTCAGGCTAAAAAGGAGGAGAACATGAGTTCTAGTCTCACCTTAGCCATGAAAGCTACTGGCTAACCTTGGGCCAGTCATTCTCTCTCTCAGCCTAACCCACTTCACAGGCTTGTCACTGTAGGGAAAATAGGAAGAAGGTGTGTTGGGCATGCCAGCATGAGTTAGAACAATCAATTTTAAAAACTGATTGATTGATTAATAACAGTTAGAATAATTAACCAGTGGAATGACTTGCCTCTAGAAGTCGTGGGTGCCCTATTATTGCAGGTCTTCCAGAAGAGACTGGACAGCCATTTGTCTGAAATGGTGTAAGGCGGGTTGGACTAGAAGACCTCCAAGGTCCCTTGCAGCTCTGTTCTGATTGATTAAGCTATTTGTAAAAATAATAAAGGAAGGATACAAATAAATAAATCTCAAACTGAATTCGTATACCACAGTCCAAGATGACACCTTACACATAATTCATTCTAATGCAATTCATTAGTAAAAGGCTTGGAAAATATTCAGTGCCACTGAATGTTCCCTGTTTCCTTTATTCGCTGTAACAAAAGTAAAACTGTAGCACACAAGCTAAACCAGTTGCATTTTACAAAAGCATCATAATGCAATGACCATCATAATCTTTCTCTTTAATCATATATCTCTTTCTCAACACAGGCTGAACAGCCTTTTGGGATTTCATAAGCCACGAGCAAAGTATTATTTTCCTCCTGAATCCAAGATTATCTCACCGCCATTTCAGATCTATAATATTTTGCCATTATTATATTTGGGGTGTAGTTAGAGTTGATATGACCCAAGCTGGGTTTGACCATCTGGGGAGATTGAGATTATACTCCCTCTCTCTGATCATTAGAGGGAGGGAGGAATCATCACCATCAGTTCCAGCACAGCCATTTCTCTTGCAGTATTTGACCCCTTCCATTTATGTTTTGTTTCCTGAATTCCTCTCCTATCAATCATCTCCTCCCCTGGGTTTTTTTTTTTAATTTCCACAGCCTTTTAAGGCAGATAAGGAGGGGAAAGCAGACTTTCACTGCTTTATTTGATGGGAGACGGTTTATTTTTTAAAGTCAGCATTTCTAAATTTCTAAAATGGTAACAATGGAAAAAAAAATCTTTTTGTTGAGGCTGGCAGATACCTTTTCCTCGCTGCAAGGGCCTAAAAATAATGAGAGACTTAATACTTGGAGTTATTATCTGTCAATCACCCCCTCTTCCTTACTCATGATTAGCTCCTGAACTTCCCCAGTGGCTAAAGCCTTAGTTTTTATCACTGTACAGCCCTAGCAGAGATATGATCATGATCAGGTCTATCTCCTTTCTCTCTAGAGTCGATTCTGCCTTGATGTGCCTTTTTGTCGTTGTCCACATTACAATCTTTCAAATATTGCTTAATTATGAAAACAGTTTTGTAGATGCATATTTATGCGATTGGAAACCATTTTCCCATATGTTTATTTTCCACCATTTTGAATTAGTGGGATGATTAGATGGGATGTGTGAAGTGACACAGGGGGAAAAATATTCTTGAGAAGTTCAAGAAAAGTTCCAAAACTGTACAATTATATAATAATACAAGTCCCATCCCATTCATACTGCAGGGACCCTCCTATTTAATGCATCTCCACTGATGTGTGACATGCTGAAGAGGGACTGCTGCAAAGCCCACACAAAGAGACAATCCTCTTGCTTATAACGAGTTGCACCAGTAATTCCTGATGACTGTCTGGACAACTCCCTGCAATTTCCCTGGCAAACTAGAAGTGTTTTCCCGTTGCCTGCTTCCTAGGGCTGAAAGTTTGTGACTGGCCAAAGTTACCCAGCTGGTTTCATGCCTAAGGCAAGACTATTGCTAACAGTCTTCTTGTTTCTAGCCTGGTGCTTTAACCACTACATCAATTTAGGTCTAATTCAAGGGTTTCGATTTCATCGAAGACCTCAGTAGGGACAGGGGGGCATGGCCAGGCTGGGTGTGGCTAGCTTGATGTCTGTTAAAATGGCCTCCTGCAGCCCTCTGCCAGCAAAAAAAAGCTGGGGGGCCCACGCATGGCCCTCCCAAGCTCTGTTTTCTCTGGCAGAGGCACCACAGGCCAGGCCTTTGCTGTTTGCAGGGTGGCCCTGCAGGCCAGATCTAAGCACCCTGCGGGCCGGATCCGGGCCATGGGCCTTAAGTTTGACAGCCGGCTCTAATTGGATATTGTGGAAATTCAAATCCAACAAATGAGGTTGGGGAATATTTATTTAGTCCAACTTTCTGGCTTCAAAAGTAGCTAGGAATGCGTTTTGTGAATATCAGCTGAGCCAAGGAGTTCAAAGCTCTTTCAGAAAAAAGGGCATAAGAGTGTCTGACTTGCAAAACTTAAAACAACATGTCAGAAATTCTACTGAAAAAGATTTGCCCCATGAAACAGCTTTCACTATGCTAAACTGCTACAGTCAGGCCAAACAAACAAGCAGAAATAAAACAAACACTGAAATTTTAATCAAAGATATTTAGAAAATAAGTTTATTTCCTGGTAACTACACAGCCTGTCAATGAGCCTGTGTGATGCATGCAATCTGTTGAGATGTTACATTGGCTGCCTCTGGGGCAGCTTTTCTTCTATAATAAGAGATTTAGTTTAAAAAATGGAGACGGATCACTATGGAGTTCTCTGAAGGAATTAATGATGATCAAATGATAAGTTGAGAAGATGAGATAAATTTATTATCAAGGTTTACTTTATTTAGATTCAAAAATATAATGCAAAGATCCAGTACACCTCAAATCTAAGG